AGTCGCAGAATCTTTAACTATAAAGATATATCAACTAACAAATGGACAGAATTTTCAGATCTACTCTTTCACAACCTTAGACTACACAACATACTACTCAATAGCAATACTAATGAAAGTATTGAAACCATCTGGCATAAGATTGAACATTCAATAATTAACACTGCAATACAATCTATTCCTAACAAAAAGACCTGTAAACATAGCTATAATCATCAGTATTCCTCTTATTCTACCCTACTCTATACATCACTTAAAGAGCTTGAACATCTAATTAAAATTGTCAAACAAACTTACAACAACCTCAATATTAACATAATAAACTCAAAGATTCAGAACATTAATAACAGATTCTATTGCAACCTTTAAGCTCTTAACTCAGATGACCACTTCCAAATTCATATATAGATTCAACATGCACATGATATTTGGAAACAACTATATTAAGCTTGTTATACTGAAAACTCATTATTACTCCATCAACAAATTCAACAAGCTATAGAAAAAAGATATGAAACACTTACAACACATTCTAAACAAGCTATAAATAGTATCCTTAACTGATACAAAGCTCCTATTCACTTTTCTAACATTAAACTTCCTAACCAACTTATTACAGACTCCAATCTTATTAAACATCATATACAATCACACTTTTATAACTGGACTGCATATCGACCAATTAATCAAGCACTATATGATAACTTATAGCATATGCATTATCAATCACAACCACATATTAATACCCAATAATACAACTCTCTCAATTTCCCTATAACAGAAGAAGAAGTTCTTCAGATATTATCAAAACTTTCTAACAGAAAAGCTTGTAGACCTACAGGCATTAGCTATAAAATGCTTAAACATACAGGCACTGCTTGTATTTAAGCTATCACAGTTTTATTTAATTGTAGTCTCAGTTCAAGTCAAATTCCTAAACAATGAAAATACAGCAGAATCTATCATATTCCAAAACATAACATATTTAATGAAAACTTAAATCTTACTTGTCCTATAAGTCTTATTGAACATATTCGAAAAGTGTATACAAAAATCATAACTACCAAAATTAGTACTATGTTCTCATAACATTCTATTCTTTCATTATACAACTACCATACAGCACACCTTATAGTATTCTGAGTATATACAGGTAAACTTACATAAACTATAAATAGTACTCTCCAGATATTATGCATGATAGGAGGTATAGTATTCGAGGGGTACTTTGTATGAAGGGTACAATTCATAGGAGTACTATAATAGAAACAATATAAAATGATCAATTATTGAAATATTAAGAGTTTGTTGCAAAGCATTATATAGACCATCATTGTGTTCATTGTAATTTGTTCTTGGGTATTTTAATACCTATATGTATCTAAAAGTGTTATAAAAGATATCGAATAAATTTTAAATTTTATTTTGAATTCTAACTATTATAATTTTTTAAGTTGTAAACATATCTTCTCAGCTTAATCAAAGACCTTTATCTGAAGTTCTAAAGCACTGGATAGTCAAATTTTTTTTTTAGTAACAAAAAAAATTTTATTAATACTTATCAGGTTCAATATATTTAAAGTTTATAATGTTCAAATACTTATAATTAAATATTAACAAGATTTTTTTTTTAGATACCAAATGCCACCAAGAGCAACCTGAAAACATCATAATTTAAATATTACTCAAAAAAAATGATGTAGTTGGAATATACAAGAAAAATTAGCCATTTTGACTTTTCTTGAAAACCATTCACAAAAAAGTATACGTGCAACAACTACCATGTTTAATATTAAATCAGTTCAAGTCAGAAAGTGGCATGGACTTAAGCAACAATTAATAAAGGCTGCACCTCATATCTTATAGTTAAATAATAGTACATGTTCAAAATATACAGAACTTGAAAGAGAGCTAAATAAATAAGCTAAAAATTTGCATAAAAATTTAAAAGTAGTAACATGATCAATAATTCAAATGAAAGCTAAGGCACTTGCAAAAACAGAATAATTTTGTAATATGTATCCTAATATTAAGGAGTGTAAATTTAGTAGTAAATAGATTGATGGCTTTATGGTATGTTATAAATTTAGTTATCATCAATATACAACAGTTGTCCAAAAACTACCAGAAGATTTACATGAATTACAACATTCATTTTTGGGATTTGTACTTTACCATTGTATATAATATGATTACCAACTTAAATTTATTGGCAATATAGACAAAACTCCTATTTCATTTGATCTTTTTAGTCAAACTACTATAGAAAAAATAGGTACAAAAATAGTTAGCATACATACTTGTAGGTACAAAAAATCTACTTTTACAATTATTTTGGGTTGTATAACAGATGGAACCAAACTACCAGCAATAGTTATTTTTAAGTTAATGAATGTTTCTCATCAAGTCTTCCTTCTGGATATTATCATTCGAGCAAATAAAGAAGGTTACTCTAATACAAATGAGACTCTTTTTTAGATTGAAAATATTTGGCAAAAACATGCATCTCTATCAAGCAATCCTCATTCTTTATTGATACTTAATTCATTTCAAGATCATTTGACAACTTCTGTTAAAAATCGATTTTAAGAAAAAAATACTAATATAGCAGTTATACCTAGTAGGCTTATTTCTAAACTACAACCTCTCGATGTATTCATAAATAAATCATTTAAATCAAAGGCATATATTTTTTATTTTTTATAAAAATTTTTTAAATTAATAATATTATTAAATAAATCTTTATATTTATAGTTATGCAATTATTATAATGATTGAATGACAGAAGAAATTAAAAAGTATACTCCAAGTGACTAAATTCAAAGACCTGCATATAATTTGATTGCTCAGTAGATTAAAGATACATGAGACATCATAAATTCTTCTTTAATATGTCATTCATTTAAATACTGTGGAATCTCTAATATATGAGATGAAAGTGAAGAACATCTTATATTTAATTATGATAAAGTTATAGAAAAAAATGCAAATAATATTGGTAATTATGTTTATTTGAGTAATGAAAGTATAGATACTAATGTATCAACAAATAGTGAAGTTGAAAAAAATATAAAAACTTATTTTAGAAATGAAGAAAATAAAGAAAATAGAATTAGTGTTAGAGAATATGAAGACAACTATTATGAAATAGAGAAGATTAATTATATTAATGAGTGGGTTTAAAGTTTGAAATAAATATTATCATTTTCTTTTGAAGTTTATATTTTTAAACTATTTTGTACAAAATTGGTTGCTTAATTTTCGAATGCTTTATACATATTAATATATAAATAATATATGTACTGTCAACTATTGATATAACAGACACCTTTAGACCGGATTCACCAGTTTAACAGACAAATTGCAAAGAACCAAATCTTTAATATATAAATAATTTATAAGTTATATAACAGAGATTTTTTTTCAGCCCAGATTTCCGTTATATAGATAGTTGACAGTATATAAATATATATATTTATAAATATCAGTATTTTAATTTGCTTATTTATAACCAGGTACATGTCTAATATAGTATCCGGATACTTACCAGTTTTTTAGACTACATATCTAATATAGTACCCGGATACTATTAGTTGGGAGTACTTTTTTAAGGGGATACTATAAGGTGCGCTGTACGGTAGTCTTTTACTGGTAAAAAGACCATAACGATATGTAAGTATAAAATACCCGTAAAAGCATCAATGTATCAGTAAAGGTGCCAAGCGAGACCTATTTAACCTTGAAACTGTTTGGGTAAGATTATAATAACACTGGTTACTGCATAACTCCGTGATAATATTACAATTCAGCAAAATAAAATAAATTTTGAGCGAAAATGTTTAGAACAATAAACTATATCGCGTGACATCACATGACATAAGTAAGGTTATTTCGTGAGACAAATTTTACTTTTAAAAGAAAAAATCCAGATGTATCACATGGAAACTATCTCGAAAGTGTATGACAGATGACAATAAATGCCATTGTTAACATGCAGGATAGCACTAATTTGAAAATAGTGATTTCTAAAATAATTCTTTCATTCGCGGGTTACCGACTTCATGATACATGTGCGTATGAGCGCATTTTTATTTTACTATTATATAAACACATTTATATTCCGTCAGGAATATAAATATTGTATCATACAAACATTTATGTAAAATTTAAAGGTAAATATCAACCTTATGCAATGCAAAAAAATATATAAATTGAACTTTTGGTAACAATACGTAATATACACACACAATATACAATAATTTCTCAATTTTTTTAAGTCGATACCAATCATCTAATACTGTATAAATGTTAACGATATGACATTTTTTCTTCAACCAATCTGCGAACAATATGAGCAGTACAAATAACAAGATTGACAGCTTGGACAATAGTGATAAGGAAATTTGAATTCTTGTGGTGTGTAATCATTATAATTAATTTCAGGCACGACATTATCCGTGTGGGCCACAAAATTATCTGGCATGTAACTGGTTTCTTTTTGTGGCACGTGACTGGTTGAACTTTCCAGGTCGAGTTCAGATGCCACGTTATTCATGTAATGAGTTTGGTCTGCAGAATTGGCATGAATGTGAAAAGTATTAATATTATATATGAATATAACAATACGGTTGCATTTAACAAATAAATGTCATATACCGTATTGAGTGGAAGTGGAAGTAGATGTATTAATGTAAAGGGAAACTTCGATGCTGGTATTTGATGGATAATCTGAAAATATAAATAATATAAATAATATAGGTAATTTATTTACAAAAGATTTTATAGTCCCTAATTTCAAAGTTGATTTTTCGTTTAACGTTATTCCTCCGTCTCCTGAACCACCTCCTCAGATTAAACAAATAGAAGTACAGTCAATAATCTACAAATGGACTAATAAAAAAAAAAAGAAGAAATTGAAATGTGTATTTATAGAGGGTGTTCATTTATAGAGAACAAAATGCATAGAGATCTTATGAAATTGGACAAGTTATACTGTGACGTTAGAAGATTGCATAGAGCGTACATTTACAGGGCATACAGTTATATGGAGGTTGTGGCACACGTTCGGAAGTTTTCGGTACACTCTCCCCTCTCATGTAATACGAAAAAAATAACGTTAAATGAAGGTTCAACTTTAACCAGCCTAAACATACTTTTAAGTGTATTAAGCATCTTGATGGCTTCATCTAATGGTAAAGTAGACGTAGGAAATGACACTTGCGTAGGATCGGTTACTATTATAAATATAATATTAACTAATTAATAACATGAAAACTCAGAGACGAGAATTTAAAACAGTACATACAATTGTTGGAAAAAGTTTGTGGATCAAGAATTGAATTTTTTTTTTCCGAATAAAGTTCTTCACTATTTTATTATGACAAAGATTTAGAATATTTTCTAGTAATAATGTAACTAAGGTGATAATGTAGACCGTCCTATCGTAACCCACTTAAAAAATTTCGTTACTAGTGCTAGTGTTTGGATTTGTATAGATTTTTGAAAAGTTGACTTTGCAGATAGAGATAGCGAAATTTTTTAGATTTGTAACGCTAGGACGTATATCTCATACCAAATTTCAGGAGTAAGCATATTTTTGACCAAGAATTTTTTATCCACTTTTTTTTTCTTTTTTTTACGTTTCGTGAGGGTATACTCGCTGGCAGAACTCATGGGTCTAGTATTATGTTTTGAATTTTCAGGAGTAAGCATATTTTTGACCAAAAATTTTTTATCCACTTTTTTTTTCTTTTTTTTACGTTTCGTGAGGGTATACTCGCTGGCAGAACTCATGGGGCTAGTATTATGTTTTGATTTTGACATGTATAACCTCACAAACAAATACAGTAGACTCCCTTCATGGTGAGCCAGCTTTTATAACAAAAGATTTAAGATTTCATTCATATTTTTAACCGGCTTCGCGATGATCTCGCATCATTTAAAGAAGCTGCCTTTTTTGATAGTTGCACGAAAAAGACAAAGTGCGAAAAAAGCGTGTTTGTTGTATCTTTAACTGTTAAAATGGAGAAATTTGCAACACAAATTCTTAATTTTGGCAGCATATTTTTAAAGCATGACTAACAAGAACCGACGCCAAGTTCGCCGCCTACCTAAAACGATAGGTCTAGATTAATTATAATTTTAAATATACGTATTAGTCACGTTCACTATTGTTATCCTTTTAAGTCAATACCTAATTTGGTCTTATAGTTTTCTTGATTTTCGGAACGACCAAATTTTTTTTCCAATCGCTACACGTAAAAAATGAAATTTGATAAATAAATCATTATCATTATACTAAGTAAAGTTATCCGGAATATCAAAATACATATATCTTAAAATTTTCTCCTTTTACTTTTCTTGAACGAAATTTTTTTTCGCGTAAATGCAAAATACGAAAATGTGTTGTTTTATTTATTAAACTTTCATATTGCGTTCATCTATGTTGATATTGATATTCTAGTAATCTGTTAACATCATTTCTCGTATTTTAGAACGCATTTTAGAATTTGGATTTCACATTTAAGGGTATGTACGTATGTAGCTTATTTTCGGAGTTTTTTTTCTACATTTCCTATAGGTTACCACTATCTTATCTAACTGTACTACGTATGTACTACGTATCTTACCTAAAATGACCCGTATTGTGAAGGTTCAAGGCTCATTGTAAAATAAAACCACGATAAATTTAGGGAACTGATATTTCCACACCCATATAGGATCCTGCCACACCATCTTCCCCAGTATCGCCGTCAAAATTTTCACTTTCACGTGACCGTGTTTAAAAATCTTTAAATTCGTTTAAGTTAGGGTTAGCGTTTATAATAGGGCTAGGTTTTAGAAAAGTAATAGTAAAATCACTCGAGGAATTTTTTTGGTTAGAGCTCAAATGATGGTTTCTTATGCAAGTTTTTGAGGAATAAGCGATTTTTGAAAAGCGAACGTTTTGTTTTGATCTTCCTGATCGTGTAACGTTACATTAAACCGAAACACGCTATTGGATGATCATCAGGTTAAAGTGAAAATTTGACGGCGATCCTGGGGTAGTTTGCCACACCCCTGTAATCACGTGACACTATAATGGAATAGTATATTACGACAATATATATTAGAGAATGGATATCCCTTTTTGATATTGCCACACCCCTGCTAATAAAAATCAATATAAATTATTGGGGTTTTGGTTAGAGTTTAGAGTTTGCAGTGGTGTGGCAATATCAAAAAAGGGTGTAGAAATATCAATTCCCTAATATATATTATCGTAATATACTATTTCATGTACGGTGTCAAGTGATTACAGGGGTGTGGCAGGATCCTATATGGGTGTGGAAATATCAGTTCCCTAAATTTATGGTAACTTATAATATCATTTGCCATTATAGTAAATACATTATAAATATATATTTCTTTATCATCTATTGAAACACCTTGAACAATGGTACCGCCGCACTCGGAAAATGTGTACCAGGTTTGGGAACTAGAGAAGAGTAGCTTATATAATAAAATTGTCCAACGAATTCTTTTTGTTAGAGCACAAATGGGATTCTTATGCTGATTTTTGAGTTATGAGCGATTTTTGGCAGAACGAACGTTTGTTCTGCTTCGTGATCGTGTTACGTCACACCTAATCCTGAAATCTGATTCGTAGTCCAGGTGTGAGGTACCCCCAGTAAATGAGTATTTTATTCCCTGTTTCAAAATTTAAGTTTTAATAATAATAATAATAATAATAATAATCACAATAAAAGTGATTAACAGCCAGCTCTGGTTTGTTTGAATCAAAATATAACGGTGATTATTTCTTTTGTCACTATTAGTGATGTTACGTCCCAAACTATGTGATGAATAATATCACTTAAGTCATTTACCTTATTGTTATTGTTGAAATCGTATGATGCTATTCATCACATACTGATATCATGAAAACAACCAAATTAGATTCGATAAAATTGTTCTTATTTTATTCTATGGTTGTCGTAATACCGTTAGTGCTATCTTGGATGCTAGAAATAGTTGGACACACTGCACTCTAGTTATCTTAGCTATGTATGTATTTAATATTAGTTTTATCATTAACCTTATTATAGTGAACTCTCAATATAAGTATAGCGAAGACAGAAACCCTCTCGATATAGTGAATTTACTAATAGGTTCTTGATATAATAAAGACAACTTCACAGTCTGATCATTTCACTATAACTAGAATCACTTGTATTTGTTGTAAGTGGAAAGTGGATTTATATAAACCAGTATTTTGGGGTTGATTTTATCATATGAACATTCTTATCCTAACCTAATTTAACTAGAAAATCCCAAATCTACTTAAGTTCAGTTCCTATTTACAACACATTTATGTAATTTTAAAAATAACAGGCCAATTATAATAGTTTGTAAGTTTCAATTTTAATTAAACTTAAAATTTAATCCTAAAATCAAAAAGAAAAAATAACGATAATCTAAATTAAGTGGTAAATCACAAAAAGGGGTATAGATTTCATAGCAAAAATCGGCAAAGAATTAATATGATATATTAATAAGATGTGATGTTAGGTTGTCGAAAGTTTCTGTTAATAAGTAAAGGTCATATGGTTACTTATAATCGTGCAAACACTTATAATTTTTATCATTTTTTCGTGCTATTTTTATACATTATTACATAAGTACATGACTTTGACTTGTAATAAATTACGCGATAGGTATTGAAGCAAATGATTGGCTGAAACGTGCTGTTACGTGACGCGTTTCAGCTCTGATAAATGTAATTGTTGTTCAGCAATATTTTATAATCTATTACTAATGATTAAAAAAGACCAATCAATTGAAAAGAAAATTATTGCTATTTACCAATGAAATAGTTAATTACAAAAATAACCGAGTTATTCTTTTCTGAAAGAAAATGAATGAATGAAATAACTTTTCTCAGAAAAATTTGAAAATAGCAATGTTAATGAATGATTTTTATTTCTTGCATGTTTGTAATAGATTGATTTGTTATCTGGCTAGAGATAGTTTTGATATTGTGTTATAAAGAGTTTGGAGATGTTAAAAGATTAAAATGCGATTACGATAAGAAGTTATATGAATATTAATTGTTTTGTTGTTATAAAGTGGTCAATGAAGAGACAGTGAAATTTAAAAGAAAGGAAAGTTTAACCTTATCCTCTTAATCAAATATGTTAAGAAATTGTTTGGTAGTAAAAAAAAAAATTGTTTGGTTTATGTTGTTAAGATTTAGATAATGTCTCCTTATAACACTGTACGTATGTACATATTTGTTAATACCAAAACTTTTCAGCCAGCCATAACTAATTAGATTCCACAATTTTAGAGCTATTGAGAAGTTTTAAAAAATAAAACCTTAATAATATTAAACTTAAATAGCTCAGTAACTCCACAAAGCAATTGCGATTCATTCAGTTTGTAAATTCTCTAAATGCTTTGCTAAATAAAATATTTCACTTTGTTTATTTAAAAGAGTTTGTAATTCTTCTTGGATTAGCGTTTCACTTAAAACCTCTTTAAGTTCATTCAATCTCTCAACATTAAAATTGTCGTTAGTTTGAAGAATTCTAGAGTTCTCTTGAAGTAATTTTTCTAAGATATATCTTTCAGCTCTATTAAGTTGTTCCGCAACAGTATTAATTAACTGTTCTAATTCTTGCTTCTTTAAGGGAATTTGGTTAATTAAGTCTTGAACTTTTAGTCTTTTGATTTCAGCTCTTAGAATTTGAAAACTTGAAGGCTGATTGGGATAAACTAGATTATTAATTTGGTTAAATTCATCGTTAACTACTCTTAATAAGTCTTCAAACTGCTCTAGGTCTAGTTCGATATTTGTTTGTTGCTTTTTGGTTTCTAAATAAAATAATACTTCTTGTTTAGTTCCGGGTAACCCTAAGGTAATTAATCTGTTTTCTTCTACCATATCTAGCAATAACTCAAAAGCTGTCCGACATAGACTATAATGGCGTAAATTATAACATTTTCGAACTATTTCCCAGGCTCGTTGTAAAAGCTGCTCATCAGATAGTCTTCGGATATCATAATCGTATATATATATTGACCTTATCAATAAGCCTTCCACTCTTGTTCTATTTAAGGCTGTTGAATTGTTCATTTTTTTTTATAATAAAATATCAAACTAATATTAGTGCAACTAGTCCGATACTTTCTAATGTCCAAGATGAAGCTGCAAATTCTGAATTGATTTATAAATTAAAAGGCAAATGAATAGTATCAAATATACTTTAGGGTTATTGTAAAGCAGCTATTGACGACTACACTTTTTTTTCATTTATATAGTCATGTCACCATTTTAAACTTTTCCTTAGGATAAGGTCACCATTAAAACTTAAGCTATAAAAAAAATATACGTATATATAAAAAAATAATGACAAATATCGATATTAGGATTTTTAAAGCAGTCGTAAAAACAATACGTAAAATTACTAAAATTTTAAAATTCACGGATAGGATAGGATAGGAAAATGGTTCCAGAAGACCAGGCCATGAACTATTTTTTAGGAACTCAATCGATAGTGTAGACGCACTTATCAGTGACATGTCTTAACGTTACTTGTTACATGAGTTAATATTATGATATATATTATGAAAATCACACCGTTTACATAAGTTATAAATATGTAACAATTAGACTACGTCACTGATATCGATAGTACGGCCTTAATTCGAAGTTACATTTCAAATATTCTAAAAGACCCAAGTTCCCAACCATTTTATTTTTGAATCTGGCTTTTATTTTTACAGAACTCGAACTTAAGTTTTGGATTCAAGCGTAACTTTACATGATGTTCAAGTTTAGTTCGAACCATTCTCAAACTTGGAACAGGTTCGAACAGGACATTTATCATCCTTATCTTAAATGATACTAGTTTACTAATAAATTGGATTATTTACTGTTTTCATAAAATTTGGGACAACTGAAAAATTTTCCGAGTTGGAATAAATAAGTCACATGTCAGCCGAAATTAGAAATTTATCATTTCAGTTCCAGCGTTAGCTTTAGGCAATTTTTTCATTGTCCTAAAATTTATGAAAACAGCTGTAAAAAACAAGATAAAGCCGGATTTAAATAATTCGTACGTATTTTTTAAATCTAAACTCTATTTAAGACTATACTAAATTTGTACTAAGTTTAGCATGCTTTAGCGTTAGATATTCGGATTCATTCTAAAATCATTAATTCTATTGACCAAATTGTATGCCTTGAGTAATGTCGCCTCACTTTTTTTTTGATTGAGTTTCTTATCATCTAGTTAGTTAAATGAAGTCTTCAATTTAATGGTCATGTTACGAAACAAGAAAAAATAAAGTTACACATTTTTGAAATTCTAATAATTTATTTGTAACATAAACACTATACAAAACAAATACAACAGTTTCTTATTTCTTATTTTTACCAGTTTGTTTAAATATGACACAAACCAATTTTTTTATTAGCAACAAATTTGTGGATAAAAAATATCATTATATATTGATATGTATTTTATTTGAGAAAGGAGTGCTTCGATGTTAGTATATACCAACTATTTATACTGTAGATGTGTAAAAATATTAATGAAGGAATAGATAATTTTTAACAAACAAACAAACCAATAAATAAATAAATAAATAAATACCTAGCTGGTTTCTTTGACTAGTTGGGAGTAATATCGTCAATATCGTCAATATCATCATTGTCACATCCTGAGTAATAATTAATATAATTTGTTTGGTTTTGTGATGTATATTCGATTGGTTCGTTCAAATCAATTTCAGGCACGACACTACCCGCGTTGCTCATAGAATTATCTGGCACGTAATCGACTTGTGGCACGCAATTGAGTTCAGAAACTGTGTTACCCATATGATGAGTTTGAGCTAAATTAGAATAAATATAAATTATTAATCTTTGTACGTATGTACTTAAACAATATGGTTAAATTTAACAAATAATTGATGGTACACATACCATGCCGCGTGGGAGTGGAAGCGCTAACAGAAAAAGAAATTTTCACACTGGTATCTAGAAATTTCGATAGCGATATGGTTTTAAATTTGTCATTTATCAGTAGATTTTTTTGTAGATCACTTGCATTTAAAATTTTTTTGTGGCCTTTAATAATTGCAGATATTTAAATTCTATGACCATACTTTTAAGCGATTCAAATATCTTGATAGCGTCATTTACAGATACATCATTCATGAAAAATAACACCTGTGTAGGGTCGGTCGCTATTATAAATGTAATATATATTTTATAATTTAATAACGAGAAAACTAGAGGAGAGTTTAAAACCATACAATTTTCGGAAAAAGTCTGTGGATCGCAAATTGATGGGGTTGATGGTCTTTGCGGATGACATTTTCTCCTATTTTTATTTTGACGAAATCTTAAAATATTGCAGAATAATAGCGTAAATTAAAGTGGCCATTATAAGCTTCATACCAAGTTTCCGGGGTATGCATATTTTTAGGCAAAAATTTTCCCTCCATTTTTTTTTTTTTTTCTTTACGTTTCGTTGAAGAGTATATTTTCTGGCTAAATTCAGGAATTGAGACAGCTTTAATGTGTCAGAACTTGAAATTTTGATGGGACTTTAAAACTTTAGCTTGAAAAACAAGCACAACAGCTCTGGGTATATTTTAAAATTCGATATAAAAGTATAATAAATTATCTTAAATATCCTATGAAAAGCTTTTATCATAAAACGGCCGGTTTGTCATTAAAAGCTGACTGAGCAGAAGGAAATTTTTCAATAGATTCAGTGGAGTTTTATTGCAATTATTCGTAATGAATGTTCTAATTAAAGAAATACTTTAACAGTTTTTTCTCGTGACGTTGATCGTGTTGATCTTGCCACACTAAAATCTGCACTGACTTCTTTGGGAGATCACTAAACGTTGTACATAACGATAAGTAATCATGCCTTTTTAATTAAAATTGGGGAAAAGTTTAGTTTAGTGCAAGTTTTACAAGTAAATCGTTTTTTATTAAAAGAGCTCTTCGTATTTACTTTTTTTCTTCTCCGGACTGATATTGTACGTGCAAATGGTTGTTTGATTGGTCGACCCGCAATAAAGTCACGTGGGTACACTTGAACTTAGAGTTGGAACCGGTTTTAATAATTCGGGTTTATCACATGTATTTTGTGATATTTTAGAATTTATTAAAATTTCATTGGATAAAATTTTAAAATATCGTAATATTCACGTGATAAACTAAAACCGGTTCCAACCTCTACTTGGACTCGCATGTCTTGACGCCAAACTTTCTTTTTTTAATCTATATTACCATCTTTACCCAAAAAGATTAGAATAGTATGTACGTACGTACGCACATATAATGTTGATTCATCTTGCCTTTTTTGCTAATTACCTACTTTGTATTATAAATTCTTTGATTTTCGGAACAAAATTACTTTTCTCCTAGTCGCTAGATACGACAGTAGCCAATGTCAACCAACGTTGGCGTATTAATCAGACATCTAATACAGAAAGTAAAAAAAAGGGGCATTTTAGTTTTGATGAAACTTTAATTTCGATGTGTCATTTATCATAAGATCGATACAATTTAGAATAAATTCAATCATAAAACAATGAATGGTACAACAAATAGTTTTAAGTGATAATGACAGTGTTATACATTATACAAGAAATTCGCCATTCAGAAAAATCGAATGACTCGAATTCGATTACTGGACTCTAAGATATCTTAGAATAGTATAATAAGAACTTTCTAGCAAAGATAGATATAATTACTAATTGAAATATTTCATGTCCATTGATCTAATTCATTCAATTGATTGTCAAAATATTCCTGTTTACCTTACCGGTATATGCAAAATGCACAAAACTTTTAGAGAAATTTATTTTAATACCAATTTATTTACGGTAATACCATTGTCTTATCTAAGTCTCATCTAAATTACATGAAATTACATGAGATTTCGAATTCACGGGAATCAATAAAAAAAACATTATTTATATATATATAGTAATTTTAATGCAACCTGTATATAGTAGTTGCCACTTTTGTTTTTCTTGTACCCTTAAACTTTAAATTTGTAGAACTGATTAAAAAGAATAATGCTACTAATCTCCCGATCACTATATCAAGATCACGGGATGATTAATTAATAATACCCTGACCGTATGTGAATAAGCGGAAACGAAGTTTCCGCTAATTCCCAACGGATCAGGATATTATTCTTACTAATCAGTTTTTTGAAATTCGTATAAAAATTTAGATTTTTAATCACATGATTAAAAGATAAACAATTTGCATTACTGCGGTTTACAAATTCGAGAAGTTGATGCGTTATGAATGTAGCAAAAAATAAATTTATTTGACATATTTGGTTCGAGTTTAGCAATTCGTATTTTAGTTTTTATTTTGGTCTAAGCTTCGTGTTTCATGATATTATTATAACATTGGTAAAGAATATAAAATCTTTAATCAATAAAATTCAGAAATAATAATTTTTTGTATGGTTAATATTTATTTAATTAAATATCAATATGACTGTAAGACAGATATTAAAATCTTCTAATCAATTATAATTCTTCTAACCCATATGCATTGTATCAACTTGTTTATCTCAATGCTAACTATTCATATTTTACATTCATATTCACTTTTTATTCTCTCATGCTACTTAATTGTTTGTCAGTATTATCATTATACTTATCAAATAGAAAACTTACAAATTAAATATTTATTTTTAAAAACACTCATTGTACGTTATTAATTATTGTTTTAATAAGATAGTTCGAACTTCTAAAGTCAGTGTCAGTTTCTTTACTTTTTGCATCCAGTGGTCTTATCATGGGTTTGCACTAAAGTTTTACACAACATTAATTTTTTCATATTTCTCTATATATATATAACATTATATTTTGTATAGATGTTCTAAGTTTCTAATATCAGATAGAACCTACCTTAGTGTACTTAAGATTACAAATGTCTAAATTCAACTAATCAATGAAAGACAGTTACTATAATATAAATATAATTTTCAAAATTCATTGTCTATGAAAATTGAACTTTAAACCTACTACTTGGTAATTAACAACCTGTTTACATTACTTAATTACTACATTCTTATTTATTTATAATTATATATACTAATTAACTAATCAAATTATATAATTTTTTATTATTATTAAAAATAAAAATAAACTTAGTATAATGAAGTTTATAAATTAATAAAGAATTAATTAATCTTTTTAATTTATAATTTATAAATGCAATTACTATAATTTAAGAGTATCAATTTAATAATAAATCAAATAAAATATCAAATATATTAAACATCTAGATTTATAAAAAAGTTAGTATTTAACTATAGAACTAGTAATGCCAGTCTAAAAAATTTTGCAGATTATGTAACCATATCAACATAATCAATTTTCTAATTATTTCTAATTACTAAATTAATCAATATAACATTAAGATATATAAGAATTATTTTATTATTATTATTTTATGTATTCTTTTTCTTATATTCTTTTCTATTCTTTTTTTTGAGTATAAAAAATGATTACTATTAATCATAAAAAGAAAAAATACAACCATTATAGATTTTGATATACAGAAGAAAACTTTATCAAAAAAATAGCGAAATTATCTAATTGTGTAATAAGTGCCAAACATTGATTAGTAATATGAATTGAATTAAAAGCAAAAGAAAACAAAGATGAAGAAATTAAATAATATCAAAACTTTGCTTATATTTAAGACTAACTTGTCAATTTTTTTTTAAATTATCTAAATTCTTATGATGATTTTAACAATGCTAAACCTTACACTCAAGTGTTAAATATCAATATTGCTGTTTTTTTTAATTCTTTTATTGATCATATTTAAACAATTAATAGAAATAAAAAAAATAAGTTTATTATCTATCAAATTAAAAAACTTATTTCAAAAACTAATAAATTTGTATATGTTTACTATACATATAATAAACTAAAAGATAGTTTTTCATTTAGCTTTTATTGAAATTGCAAGATTGAAAAAAAACTCAAAAATGTATGAATTAATGATGTAACTAAACAATGAAATACTGAGACATAATTGATACAATATGTTTGTAAAGGATCAGTTCTTATTACAATAAAAAAATCTTATAAATTAGCTTACATTTGTGTTTATCACTTATCACATTCACAAACTTAATCAATAGCCATCTCTTCTGAAATTAAAAAATTCATTTAGTAGAATAAACTTCTCACTATTTCTTAAATTTATAATAGTATAAAAGTTTTAGGTCTTGATAAATATGCTTATGTTATATATCAACAAATTTATTACTAGTACAAATAATTAGAGTTTAATAAATATAAAATGGTCAAAGATTAAATAAAATCAATGATTCAATACTTTTTAAAACAACCTATATTTAAGTTAATTATATAGCAACCTACAATAATTGCATTTATTATGTTTTTATTTAATGTTTTTTCTAAAGATCAAATTAGTATAATTATTATTGATACCATATATAACACTAATCAATTGAAATATGAGTTTTATACTATTCTGAGAATTATAGAGAAAACAGTTTTTCTTTTAACTTATCTATTATTAAAACCTGATCAAGAAAAAAAAAGTTCAAAGATCCTTTTAAATTAGTTTTGTTTAATTAAAAAACAAGGCATTTGTTATGTTTAAACTTTTTGAGTAATAAAGTTTTTGCTTAAATTACTTCTGCTTAAATAGTTTGGCTATATGCATGAGTTCAGCTATGTTATTGACATGTACTTTGTGCTATAAAAAAAAGCTTTTTAGCTATAAAATTATTCATTTAACATACTATACATGTAATTATATATAATTTGTCCAAAAATCAATCAACTTAGCAACTAGTATCAAATGATCAAAATATACTTAATAAGCTTTTTTTAAATAATAAACCAAAAAAAAAGTGAATAAGTATTAAATATTTTGACTAAAAGATTTCTGTAAACATATAATTCATCTAGTTAAAGTTCATTTTTGTATACACCTATTAATTTTTACCAAAACCTAACCAAAATTGTACAATTTATAAGAAATTTAGACAATCTGCATTAAAAAGCAGCATAGTTTTTGTAAAGCTAATAATCTGTCTCATGTTTGAGCTTACTTATAAAATAAATAGTACCACTTTAATAATAGAAATTATGGGCTCATTCAGCAACAATGCATGTTAATTTTTTGCAATTTTCTATGATAATTAAAAACTATTAGAAAGTAATTAAACATAATTACCTTTCTGAATATAATTATATATATTTGGACTTATTAGTATATACTATTGTAATATGAGTTATATCTGAAAAAGTAGATCAGTTGCAGCAGCTATGAGATGATAGAATTGTAGCATATTGGCATTTTAATCTCAAAACATAATAGTATCAACTTAAAAAAAAATATTAATCTAAACTCTCAGCATATTACTGATACAAACTGATAAGTATACTAA